ACATGGGATCAGTCTATGAAGACGCTGACTATTAGACTGAGTCATGTATGTATGGTTGAGGTTCTCGTGATTGTCGTAACCAGTGTTTGGAGATATGGCTCAAAATCGTTCGCATCGGTGCAAGGGTATTCACTTTTCATTTTCCCATAGATCCTGAGTCTCTCAACCAACTTATCTTCATAATCCGCATTACCGGATCGTTTTTTCAATATCTAATCTTTTTTATTTCCATTACTACTATTACTACCACTACCTCTACCGCCTTGGAATATTTCATTTCTCTATGCAAATGGAATATGAGAACTTGAATCGATGTGCGCATGTGCCAGGTTCGACGTTGCGTATGACTGATTGGGAATAACCATCAAACCCTCCTTATTCTATCTATTCTTTCTTATTCTTCAAAATGTATTTACCCTTAACTATGTTGATTGATTCCCCGCCGTGTGCTTGTTTTCAGCTTCATTATTCAGGTATGGATGCAATGACGTCGTCAGTACAAGCGGGTTTAGAACTGGCAAACTTAACTTTACACTTGTTGCCACATAGAAATCAATTCCATTCTAAATTCTCTTCATTAGTATCTACTAATGAAACAGTAATTAGTGTTGACGATCAATCTAATGATACATGTGATCCTAATTCCAATGAATCATTCAATAATTCACATTCCCATCGATCATTAGATGATGCTGAAGTCGTTAAATCATCATGGGGACGTGTACAAAATTCAAATTGTCAGTCTCCAGAATCCTATTTCAATAATAACGCGGAATGTTTAAGTGCACGTACCAGACGCCTTTTGAAACGAAGGCATTCTGAATCAGATCAAAATCTTATTTGTCTTGAGTGATACATTAACTTATTTTATATGTGTCTTACTAGTTATTATAATTATTATTACTATGTAGAATCCTATCATATATATAACGTTCCTAGATGTATATATTAATAATAACTGTACTACAAAGTGCAATTTACCTATTTATGACCAATGAGACTAGTAATACTATTTTAATAATCGGTTTCGCTTTTACATTTATGAGAGATTTTAGCCAAAAAAAAATCAAGGTTGAGTGCGTTTAAATATGCCTACCTTTGTTTATTTGTTCCTGTTTAATTTTTGTTTAAAGTGTTCCACATCTACCACGTAATTTTCTTTGCCAAATTATATTTATCCTTTAATATTTTGTTATCTACTACACAGATGCACTTACTCCACACCTCTTTTTCTTATTACACATCTTATTCAATTTTCTCTTCACTATGTAACTACTCTGTTTGTTTCCTTATATATATATGTATAAAATCTATGCTGTGTTTTATTGGTTTATGCATTTCACACGTATACATGTGTATTTATAGATGCAGATATGTGTATATGTATTACCATTTTGGTTTTCTGTAAAGATTTTCTTTATTATGTTTTCGTTATTATTGTTGGTTCATTACGTAATGTATGTCATGAAAAATATGCCAACATTTTAATGAATGAGAATGTCTTTTTCGAATAGTAATATTCTTCCTTTTCATTCAAGTGTTATGACTCAGTTGAATGCGATTCGATGTTAAATAATACTAATTGCATTATAAATAATCTTTATTGTAGAATAAATAAATGGTTTATAGATGAGGTTAGTGTTAAAAACAGGATTGAATAAAAAATTGTGAATTTTCGAATGAATAATCTTTTTAAATACACACCATTGAGGAGTATTATATTAGGATATAATAACTATTCAGTTCTGTTTGTTTTTCTTCCCGAAATCTCCGTTACCAATTGTTATATCCGCGTCGCTAATTACTTAAACTTAAAACAAGGAAACTCTGTAATGAAGACTGGTACAAGTGAAGATTTATTAGCCCCAAAACACGAAAACTACTAGTCGAAAATGCACTCATTTATATATTGATTCGCATACACATTTGATTATGAATTAGTAAAACGTTACATATAGAATTATCACAAAATTGCACTTTGCATTTCATGCTAAACATAGTTCACGTTAATCTAATACAAGCATATCATATCTTCAACAAAACATCACTCTGAAAGAATCCAATGTTATACTGAATAAAATAGCATATTGAAAATACAATAAATATTACAATTAATAATCATCATATTGAATTAAAAACTGATGTTGATCTTCATTGTTGTGAAGTGTAGAATATATTGGTATATGTGTATATATCACTTATTGTTAATGTTGTTGGTACCTACGATAAGGATTTTTTAGTGTTATGTATTTATATACCATTTCCACTATTTGAACGGCCGCTACATTTAAAGTCCATGTAAATATTGACACAGTGTCGTTAAGAGATTGTTTTTCCTCTATTTTCTTGATCATGTTTCTGATTTTTCTTGTTCAGTAAGACTGATTAGAGTCAGATAAATATCTTGTACTGAAATATACCTGTAAGAATAGCATGTTCTCTAATCAATTGATCCATAGTTTTATAGTTACCAGCTCAAGAATCGAAAATCAGGATGCACAGGACATCTGTTTTGTCCTAGAATGAGTTTCCTTACCAGTGTATTTCCATGAACTCATTTGGGTTGAACTATTAGTTTAACCTTCATGGCTTACATTCTTAATTCGATGTCCATTGGTGTGGTGTTCTAATCATGTTTACTTTGATCAAGCCTTACTCGGTAAAGCTGATTAGTTTGTCTGGATTAGAATCCGTTTTCCGAGGCTTGATAACCCACCGTGTGGACGTGATTTCGTGGGGAAATCGTTAGAACTCTTGCGTCTTGGCTCACGGACACCGCACCTGGGACAAGGATAGCTCACATGCACACCGGTAACACAAGTTTTCATTTATGCATACCATATCATACACGAAAGTATATTCACCCACTGCGAGGGTAGATGGTCACCGATCGCTTCGAACGTACTTGCTACAACTGACTGTCTCTTACGCATTATGTACATATCGCTGGTATGAGGGATTTTATCCATACACTTCATGAAATACACATAAGTATAAGAGCTCTCTCATGATGGGTTGATGGTCACCTTTCCCTAGTATTTGCTACCACATATTTTTATTATCTTCGACCTAAAGGATTAGTCCTCTGATTTGAATAAACATGGGCAGACATTTTTTTCAGAGTATATTCCTTGCACTAACCACACGTGTGTTCTTTGGATATACATACATATATGATTTGCACAAGCCGAGACTCATGCAATGTATGTACATAAGCAGGCACATCGGGCAGCCCGTCACGATTACAAAAGTCTCAAAGAATGAAATTCGAATAATCCAAGATCAGCATGGGTGCGGTGCTTTAACCTGATCTCTCCCGATCGCCCAAATTAGCTAGCTAACTAGGATGCCATCACTACCCGGCAGCGCCACACGGATTTCGCTGCCATGTGCACTGGTAAGAAATTGTATACCGTCCCATAGCAGCTGTTCAGCGCTTCGTGGTTACAATAATAGTTTAACTAAGTTAATTTCATGGTATAAACTGTAAAACTCAACAATCTCCATTCATAGTATTCTTGGAACCAGTGATACTTGCGTACTATTTATTTTGTTTTTCATGTTACTTATTTGTAAAATTGAATATTAGTAAAGCTCTATTGCCATGATTAACGTTTTTTCATCATACCTGAGCATTATTTAGTTAAATTAAACGAATGGTCTTGGTAACTATAAAAACAGTGTTTTATTTAATGGATAAAATGATTTTTTGTAAAGAAAAATGTAAAGCACCACACTGTTTTTTTAAACATTTCTAAACCCTATCTATTTTCGTTATCAACCTCAGGAGTACGAACCAGAACTAATGGTCAGTTTGTAGCAGTAGAAAGTAATGCTTTTACTATTAGTATTCAGTAAAATAAAGATAAACATTGTCTTCTTGTAGTTCAAAGCATGAGATTTTGAAATACTATTTTTGGATAGATAGACTGTAGAAGTGGTTCAAATATAAAGTAGTTGAGATTTATAGCCGAAAGGAGGATTTTGTTATAATTGAATACTTTCAGGCCAAGTATTTCAGTCATTAAAATTTTACTATCTTGGTAGACAACAGTAAACATGCGAGAAAAATGACTATTTGAACTTTCAACGGAATGACTACTGATGTTGGCATGGTTGTGATTGTCAGTGGGATTTGTATTAACATTAAGGGGTATATTTCTACTGGCTTTTTCATGAACTAATTTAGAATTTTGTAGGTGCTTGTCGTTTTCCTTAATAATTTATGGCTTGGGCCTATGTAAATTAATGTTTTGGTTGCTAACTAACCTCACTATTATTAATCTAAATATATGCTTTCAGTATTATTGGAAAGTCAGGGTAGTTTTGATGACTGACGTGATAGAAGCAATTTTTGATTTTGTTGAAGGGCCTTGGGATATTGTTTCTATTTGTAGGTTATATTCGTTGCAGATTGATCTCAGTTTCAGTACCACTAAGAACCAAGGAACAATGAACATTTGTTTTGTCATAATATAAAACTCTTCTACAGTGTTACTTAACAATAATAGTCGGCTCACTTGGACTTATCTCAAGATATTCTTGAGTTGTTAGTCCGGAGTCGTACCCCGTGGGATTACGACATGTCAGAAATAAAACAATTGTCACTACTGGTGTTGGATAATCGTTACTCTGTTAAATATTGTAAGTTAGAACTGTACTACCCTTGTTAACTGACCCAGTGATTCTAACCGTTCGCTGGTAGATCTAGGTCCCATTCCTGGTTGAGTCGTAGGTACGCACTTCTGAGGAGGCTTATCTTAGGAAAAAGCAGTTATCCAGTGCGGCCGTTAATGAGACCAACCTATGACAAATAAAATCTACAGCGTTTGATTAACAATTTCTAACGCCTTTTAAATTTAGACAAGACATATCAATACTTCCTGATTACTAACTTTATACCTTATGATATTCGACTGGATGCTCATTCAAAACAAATAAACCTACTTAGATCAGAATACAATTGGTTTTGAATTATATATTTAGAGAAAATCAATAATCGATCATTTCAGTATTCGACGCATAAAAAATTCAGAAAGCACAAACAAAACAATCCGAAATAAATTAAATGTTTTTTAAAATATAAATTAGAAACGAATATTTTAATTTTTCGAATTAAGTTCGATTTAAATACCTAATAATGAGTATATAACGTGCTTTTGTTTTGTTCATTTAACATTATTTTAGTATATCAGTTTAATATAATAGAAATGGTTCGGCCATTTATCTGTCGTTTGAATTGTAATTTAATTCAATTGATTTGTGCACTAATTCGAGAATTGTTCAATATTGTATTGTTGAATTCTTGAACAATTAATTCTGCATCTGAATTATTTTGTAGATAAACTTTAGCAAAACCATTAGATATTTCATTTAATAAAGAATGTTCGAATTGTACAGATAATATTTTCTAAATAGAAGATAATATTATGTGTGTTAATTACAGTGAAAATTTGTGTTGTTAATTTATTCTTATTCATAGTGAAATTTATTTATAGAAATCTATAGAAATATTTAATATTCATCGATTAGAAATTATATTCACAGGAAACCATGAGTAATGTACTGTACATGACAATGTCGACGTACACATCCATCAACATTGATAAATAGTTAAATGGAGATTGTTTTGTCATATAGCCAACTATGGACACAAATCCGTTTGACAAATTTCAAGATTATAGATTGATAATAGTTTTTGAATGGAGGAAGCCTAATACTGAAACCAATCTATGCTCATTATACTCGCCAAATACAAGTTCATTTAGTCGCATGACCAGCGTTCAACTCAAAAAGGTAGTCAACGTGAATTGAAAGTAACACGTTATACACTTCATTAGATAATTTTGTAAACGTCACCGTTAGTTAATTGAAGCGTAGGATCTCATGATACCCAAAGTGACAATGAAAGTTTAGTAATTAGATTATCTAGTTTGTATAATGCAATATCACTCAAAACATGCACTCGCGTTACAAATCGTCTACATTATTTTAGTTTATTAGATATTTTGATTATCAGAGTTGTGTTTTAGACATTACACTAAACAAAAATTCACTAATTGTTCAAAATTTGGTTAGTTTTTATGGGTGCAGGTAATTGAATGTGCTTAGTCAAGGACGGAAACTATATAATATCTCACTCTGAACAACTGAGTGTTTGTAGGATTACTTACCACTTAACTAATTAAGCTATTTTGGCCTTTTAACCTCTCATCGACTAGGTAATATACGGTTGCCATTAAGGTAATATATTATGTTCCGCTTTGTTGACAACAATTTGTGTCCTTTTATAAATATCTGAGTACAGTTTGTTAGTAGCTTGACATAATTGGAAATTGTCAAAGTTAGCTTCCTAAGAATGATTCACTCAAGTATTTAGCAATACTAACATAGATTGTAAAACTAATTGTATTAAGCTTTTATACACACTGAATAACTTCGGTTTAAGTAAAATCTAAACGGACTTTTTCAATTGATTATCTATATAAGTGTAGATAAGAATCGGTGTTGATCTATGAACCTAGACGTCTCGTGCTAGTTGATATTTATCAACTAGACATATTCACAAGAGAATCAATTGTCCTTGTGACATTCTTACCTCCATCACTGTATCTGATAATTCAACAATTAGTCTGCTCTGCGCCCAGACTAACATGTTGTGTCATTAGGGTGTTGAAATTGATGTGCCATTGAGTAGTGACTAATATCATGTTTATCTAAGCCTTGAAGTGCTTATCGGGTTCCACTAATCAGACCGAAGTTTCACCACTAGTCTCGATACCATGCACACTCTATTGGGATGTTAGACGGTTGGATGTAGTCGAAAGGAAAATCTGAACTTAGGTTTCGTACTATTTGACACTCGTCAGCAAGGTTCCGTCCGGTCATCAAAATTTACAATCGATGAAAATAAATAAACCTATAACCCACCAGTGAGGTAACATGTTGCCATTACAATTGAGTATCGCTATCAAAAAGTTTACTCTGCGATACCCACAACTTAATTGTATGGTATCTCAAAAAATTTAATTACATTTAGACAAAAGAATATCAACATACTACATTGTTAATTTTTTTCTCCAACCATTTTGTAAAATCACTTGTGGTCATTTCTTTTGGAAAGCCTTGAACAGTTACAATTATTGGTTTATTTTCTGTTTTGGAAGCGACCAGATTATTTGTCTTATACACCTGCATTTCAGGACTATTCATAATTGTAATTTGCTCTGCATTACGATTATGTGGCCATGAATTTGTCCAATCAGAATTCCCCTTGAATTCGGATAAGTTGTAACCACTATTGATAATGTTATCTTTGTTCTTATGACAATTCGTTAAGTAGGGAATTGAAGTTGAAAGTAGTTCAGTCGATTCATTATTATTTAACATTGAATTGTTTGTAAAGAAATTTGGAATTGATGTTTGATAAATCAAATTCGGTATTTGAAATCCTAGCATATTTGATAATGGAGGAGTACATTGAATTAATGCTGAAATAGAATATAGTTGATGTAAAACATTTCAACATCAGGTAGTTTCATTAATTAAATTATTACCAGACATTGAAGTTCATTAATGTGTACTGACCATGATAATTAGGCTGCAATGAAGCACTGAATTTTGGAATATAATTTCTAAATCGAAATAAACAATGCCATATAAATAAAACTGGATTTTTATTTGATTCGTCTAAAACCTATTGGTTATTTTACTTCATTAATACAGTGGCATAAATTGTTCATCGAATTACTGAATAAAATCAGCTTCCAAGGTTTTTGGTGCAACTTAAGAATGTTCGGGAATTCATGACTTGTTGGCGGCTGAATACACATTAGAGAAAAGTTCTTTTCGAGTCCATCAAGTGTTTCATTGAAGGCTGTGAAAACAAAAGATGGTGGTAGACTAAGATAATCGCTGATCTCTTACAGCGTTGTAGTTAATTAATTCTGTTACGTTTATTAGAAATAAATGATCATTGGTTATTTCATTTGGCTTTTGACTTTATCGATAAAGGTCGGTTAGCAGTAAATGATCAGTCAAATATAATATTAGTCGCTTTTCAGTGATCTAGTAATTGTAGACAAATCAGTCTCATAAAGGTCAGTCGTCCCTAGAACAACTCAGTGGTATTGTCTCAGATTGTGAAGCTATGTGTCTAGGACTTGAGTTCCACATGGAGCATCAGCTCTCTCAAGATTGCTGATATTTTCTGCTGAGGACTACTGACTAGTAGGAAACCCAAGTATGGGATCTCTCGCAGACTACTTCTAACCATCTGACGACTTTTATTTTTATGTTTTATCAATCATGTTATTTGGCTAGTAAAACATACCCATATTATTGTGATTAAATATTTCATAACAAAAATAGCTTTATTTCCCTTACATACTCAATCAGTTGGTTAATCATTTTGAAACCTATTTGATCGACATTTTTTGTGTGATTCTTCCAGAAAATATATCATTTCGATCAATTTATTAATCCCTGTTATTTTATCAATTGATTTATGCTGACATAGAAGACTGATTTATATTTTTTTAAATAAGTGATAAATTCCACGTCAGTTTTCATTCCTGTAATGTATTGTAGAATGAGAATATTTGTGTTTGTTATTACTAATTACTGTAGTGGTTTCCTATATTTACTACCTTATAAGTTGAAAGTTAAAGAAGTGGTAGCGAATTTAACAACTCAGGTTGGTATTTTTGATGCTATTGATTTTTTGAGATATATAATTTTTCATTATTATTCTGGACAACAACAGAGCGCTTACATTATGTAAAATTGAGCTTCTTGGTTATTCCAATCGTGCAAAGCATGTTGGTGATGTTATCCAGAATGACAATGGATACTACGTAGTTAAACCACCTTGTTCAAAGTACTAAGCGACACAAAAGGTCATGTGTTATGTTCTGTACTATCTAAGACTGATACTGAAACTCAAACTTCCTTAACTCAAGTCTCTAACCAGCTACTGAAAAAGAACACTATGAGTGAAGGAAATTTACTGTGCTCAACTGACACATGTTCAAAAGAACTCATTTATATAGTTCGATATATAAATAGGTCTACTTAGAAAATAAAACCATTTCTTTTCCATTCACATTCCTTTCTTATTAGAAGATTTTCAATAAACACATCACAGCCTTCCATTTAGTGACTTTTGATTGGTCTACTATATTAAATTATTACATTACATTATTTATTCAATACAAATAAGGAATATCAATTCTCGTCAACATACCATTAGTTATATTATTATCAATTAAAGGTGTTGGGAATGAAAATGTGCTATTTATCCCAGTGATATAATTTGGAAAATTTGATGTCGGTGGTGGTAGATTGAAACTGTTCAATTCTTCATTACTGATAAATGGATTCAAGCGAAATTCTGGAGATTTTATACGTAGAAAATTAGTTTGCTCAATACCATAACCTGACTGTAATGGTATTGATGATTTTAGCATAGGAGTAATATCATCTAAATGATGCAACTGAGTAAAAATTATTGAATTCATTAGATTGGACAACCTTGATGTTGATGATGATGGAATGAGATTATTTGTAAATATTCCAATATTTCTTGACATATTAGATAATAGTTGATTTAAATCTTCTCTTGTACATTGAAATACATCAACATATACACCAACTGGAATTTGCAATCCATATTTAATGAAAATACTTTTATGCTTTTGTTCACAAACAGTTTGAGCAGATAATTCTGTTACAAATTGAATCATAGCTTCACCAATAGGTTGGCCCTTTGAAAATAATATTTGTACAAAAGAATGTGATTGAAAAACTCCATTATGAAGAATTTACAGGGACTATTAGATCTTATATTTTAAATTACGGGATGTCCTTAGTTAGATAAACAATCAAAAGCAAGAGACACTTAAAATATGTTCGATCCTAGTACAGAGGTTCTCAACATTGCGCATATAAGACACCACATGGGATCAGATTCAGGACCTAGCAACAAGCGCTTAACCTGTGGACCACTGAGTTGATATCCAACTGTATACATCACTTACTTTAATCAGTTGAAGATATTTCCTAACCATCTTTTCATAGCATTGGTCAACGTCCGTTTTACATCTGATATGGTCCAACTTCATCACAAAAGATGGCTTCTTACTAGACACCTGGCAATCATTTTTCGAAAACAGTAGATGATAAATGCATGACTGTTAATAGCATGAGAGTATGTGGAGATTATTGAACATTATAGTCCACATCACAGACTGACCTTAGTTAGAAATATAGACACTTTAGTTGCCAACTCAATGGTCAAAATTCTAGCGCTCACCATCAGACCTGAAGGTTCTAGGCTTGATCCTCAATGAGATTCTGGGTACGTACTGTTGCAACGTCCTATATTAGAGCGAAACAGTTGTCTGATGCTTGACAGTTTTTGATGGCTGTTTAACTAAGGTCAGTTCTTGACGTTTACTGTAAAGCATTTTGTTAGAATTTTTATAAATAAAAATGTCCTGTGAAATCAAAAAGAAGGTCAAGTAGTTGTGGAGAAATTTGGTTTTGAACAATACTTTTAGTAATATACTATACTTTTCAAACTCGATTTCAACTTTACAGTTGGCTGATTACTGAGTAGTGGCTAATATCATGTATTTTCTGGTCATTTTAGTGCTGAGCGAGTAAAATTGCCATTGTCATGTTTCCTGAAGTTGATGGGCTTGATTCATGTAGAGTCATAGGTGTGGAGTGGTAGTAACTTTGAAATCAGGGTGAAATAGTTGTCGAGCGCTTTATGATTCTCTTTGGTTCAGCAACAGATATCAAATCGTGGATAAAAATTCAATTTTACACAACATCACTGATTCTTAATTCACTCTTTTGTTGTGATAAGTTTTTAATTACTGGTCAAATATTTATTTACATTCAGTTTTCTTCTTGAGTAACCCATTACAATTAACTAAATAAATTAATTTCACCTTAACTGAATTATCTGATAATTACAGATAACTAACTCAGTCTCCTGTCAGTCTTAAGAATATCCTACTGTGTGTGTGTGTGAAAGAGAGAGCTTGTATGGATATTTATATATAGTATTTAACTACGTGAGTTGTTAAGTAATAAACAAAAGGAATGGACGAGTATTTTTTTAGTATATTTTGCATTTTTTGTTGAATAGGTTATTACTTCTATTATTATTTTATTCAGTCAACCGCAATCTATAGAATATGTAGATCTGTAGTTGACACTGGAATCCGGGAAGCCTGTTTCGTTCTATTCGTAACTTATCAGCTGGATGGATCTGGCAAATCCCAATATTGATGTTCACATTAAGACTCTTACCGAGTACCGTTTTCTTCAGGCAATGCTCACAAGACGTATATGTTTCCAACTAGGACTGATCAACACTTAGCCAAGATTGCTGAAAACGGAATAATTCAAACTATTTTTAATATGAAAAACTTTAGTCTAATTTGTTCCCATTTTATTAGAAAAAAAGAATGAATTAGAATTCGTACCGTCATATCATACACTAAGTGTATTCCATGTAAGGCTATATTACGCCAGTTATCTTGTAGAAATATTAAAATATCTGTAATATCAGCATTGATTGGCATGCCACATATACGTACAAATGTTCTAGTAATTTGTTCCATTGATGAATTGATATTCAATAATAAATTTTCATTAATTTCATTTTTGTTATTATTATTACTACTGCTACTACCATTATCATTAGTAGTATTAGTACTACTGCTAGTAGTCGTAGTACTAGCAATAGTAGTAGTAACTGCAGTAGTAGTAGTAGTTGTTGTTATAGTTGTTGTCGCCGACGTTATCTTTATCATCAAATTTGATCCAAATATTTGCAACAACTGCGAATTAGTAAGATCTGGTATAATGAACTGACCATCAATATTTGTAATTGGTGTAGTATTATTGATACTAACATTACTACCACTAGTACTACTGGTGTTACTGTAACTATTATTAATGCTACTATTGATATTACAATTCACACCGTTAATTGTTATAGGTATTGGATTTATTGGAAATCTTGGTAGAACTAATGTTGAGCTAAAATTATGATTGTTATTGTTATTATTAGCCACAACTGCAGCAGCACTATTTAATGAGCAGGCTGTAGCAATAGGTCTACCACAAGGTTGATTTGGTATCAACTGATTTGATGTGAAAATATTTGTTGTTAATGTTGTAGGTGTATTGATAAAAGTAATGAAATTATTCAACATATCTAGACTATTGAAATGATTCGATGAATCTGTAGGCATTGAATTATTTATATTTGTACTTGATAGAACTCTTTGAAAGTATGAGTTACCGTTTTGTGGTATATTTGGTGTTAAACCAAATGATAGGGTTTGTTGTTGTTGTGGTTGACATAGTGATGTGTCGTTTACAAATGAAGGATTTGAGTTGATTATTGAAATTAGATTCGGAGAACATGTAAAGTCTGGAATAGTTGACTGATTAGGCAGTAATTTCAAATTGTAATCTGAATAAATTAAATTATTATTGGTTTCAGTGAAATGTGGCATGTATACATTACTATTATTTGCAGTAAATACAGAATTGTTACATTCTGTTAAATGATTATTCCAACAATGAATTTGTTCTTCACAAGTTGAATTTAAAATACTATTCATTACCTGTAAAATGCGAGAGAGAAAGCAGCTATGAAAAAGTTTGACAAGTTTCAGAAAAGTTTCATTATCTGATCGTCCAGTATATCAAATGTTGATAAGATCAGCTGGTTATCACCATCAAATTTTAGAAATACATAAATCCGTAAACAGTACTACCATGGATTTATGATAATTTAGTAAATATTATATGAATTGTTACATAATATTTACAGTTTAATAATAATACAATTTATGATATACACGTTTTCTACTAATTTAGACCCATCAAATAGTTGCACTAACATTTATATTCATCTTACTACTGAATCAACAGACTGGGAAATATAAATTTTAAAATCTGATCACATTCACTGTAGCACAATAACAGAGCAGGTTATTTAGGGTAAATCTATCTTAAGTTTATCAATTTGAAAAATTCACAATTATTCACTATCTATTTGATTTGTGCTATGGTAATTCCTACTTATGTGAGTTCAGTGATGAATACCATGTTAGTTTCTCATGAATAATTTTCAATATTCAAAAGAAATTATAAATTGAATGTAATTATTTCGTATTCATTGAAGACGAGAGAGCACGTTACAATTAGGTCATCCTAGTTCAAGTTGCCACGATAGTATATGATGATGATCAAATACGGAATCGGGCATATAATCCTCAAGATCGGCAGTGAATAACTGAAAGTGAAAATGCAAATTATTTCAATCTCACTTAATTTTTATATGGTAATGTTATCGTTAAGTTTATTATAAATAAAGAAGCTTTTATTGTGAATTAATAGTGTGGTGTGGGCTACTTATATTGACATAAGTAGTATATAGTGGTAGTCGTGAACAGAGAGTCTGGCAGCAGAGAGACAAGAGGATCGAACAGTAACGAATGGAAAAAGAATGCGATTTGTATGAAAATGCCAGAACTATGAAGTCTGAGTCATTTTGAGAAAATTGGTGGACATTTTGCAAATTAAGCATTTACTTTATGATTGTTATATATATAAATTTTACATAAGAGAAACTACTCCTTTTTAACTCATTATAATATTTCAACATAATTTATAAGAATTATAAACAATTTTAATAGCAGTAATCATTACCTGGTTGACTTCAGCTGGAGTCGATTTAAACAATTCAATATAACGACTACCAATATGTTGTTTATTATTTTGAAGTGCTTTTTCAGCGATAATTTTTGTCTCAAAAATAACAAAAGCATCACCAGTTGCTCGTCCATCACGTTTATTAACAAATAGAATCCCATCGGCATTAAATTGTATTGAACAATTTATATTTGCAAAAAATGAAATCTATAGATTTGGTAAACAGACAAAAGAAATTATATTGCGTATGACTTACTATTGATTAGATTTAGGGTTTCTATGCAAATTGAAGATAATGTTTCCAACAGGGATCGAAAACAATCTATCGAAAACCAGGAATTAGTGGACAATAATTTTGTTTTGGTCTGTGTAACACTTGAGTTGTGTGCAATCATGATATTAAACTGATTTCTACTCAGAACTTCGAAAACGTTTTGGGATGCATGATCCTACTTTAATGACTTCAGTCAATATATGGTAAAACACGATCATTACGTAGTGTCATCAGTAATCTCTATTTTACTTTCAAAATAACTGAACTTTACTTGTCATGACTTTTACCTCGTGGACATCCCTTAAAAAAGTCAGTACTGTTCGCTCCAAACGTCAACATGTTACTCATTTGGGAACTGAGTTTCGGAGTGAACATCAAATCTATGCTTCAGGCACACCCAACTGACATGTTACCCTATAGTCAAATTCCATCTCTTCTATGTAAACTTGTGTCATAATGGCTATATAAAGAGATTCCACACAGGATCCACATATGCCAAATAAGTCTGATCAAAACATCAATAATGGGGTAACTCAAACCATGAAAATTAAATTAAGAAGTAAGTTTAATAATTAGTCTTTTATTGTTAATCAGTTAAAGCAACTTACAATGCAGAATCCGACTAATTTTAAGACACAATCCTTTCTCTGACTCATCAACTAATTAATCTGATATATTGGCATTTTCATATATACACGCACCATGTGAAGTAGATTTGCACATGCAAGCAAGTATTTTCTATTGATGACATGCATTTAAATTTTCATAAAGACAGTGACGTTGAAACACAAGCCTTATCATTTTCCAAGGATTTAAGCTCAAACTAAATCATTTAATTTATTGTTTTTTATGTCATATAATTTCACATTAAATGAAGTTGAATTGTTGCTACTAGAGGAATAATTAACTGAATATACAGACATCCCAGTTTTATTGTTCACACTGATATTCAAACCCGGTACCTACTACTTCAAATACTAACATTCGGACCCAGGTTTATCCAGCTGACAAGTTCCGAATAGGACAAAACACACGTCCTAAATTCCTCTCCTGTACATAATCAAACCTTAATTTAAAGTAAATGGCGGTTATAGATCGACAGGGAATGTTTATCTGCATTCCTAAATATCAAATACTGACATCTGCAAACCATTACAAGTTGATCCTCGTAACTAGTTGTGAATTTTATTAGCATATATATTTACGATTTAATTACTGTGAATAAATTTAAAAATTTGTTATCGCTAATGTTCTAAGATAGTCTTCAACTATCTGCAATTTTTTGGGTTATAATTTGATAACCATGTTATTCGCTCTCTATACTCATCAGGTTTAGCCAGTGTAATTCGTTTTTGATTTCGAAATGAAAAATGGGTAGCGTGGATGATAAAAAGTAAAGCAATGGGGCGAGCGAAGAGACTGTTCGAAAATTTCTAGGGACATTTCGAATAATCGAAACAGAGGTGAGTTGAGTGCATTTTTACAAATGGTAAGTGTTTCGGAATGCATAAGACTTATACAACCTAAAGAGGGAGTCATGAACAAAGGTCAAGTGTTAGTTGGCACTCGTCAGTAAGGCGTTTCTGTAATATTGAGGGAGCTGGTTCTTTTTTCGGAATTCGACTGTTTGTCACTCAGCTTCCCAGTCTGAGACGTCATCAATGAGCTGAGCGCTCCGCAAATTACTCCCTTTAATACGAACATATTTGCTGTTGATTGATTGCCGAGTAGTGACAAATATCATGATTGTCAAATCCTTTAGATAGAATTTGATCATACCCAAAGTATTTGACAGAGACGATAATGGTCATCGTGTCAACCACCTGAAAATATGTCTCTAGAAGACGAGGTTAGTCACAAAGCGTATAGCTTAATATATTTCGTATTGCCTCATGGTACATTTATTTACCAAGTAATTTTATGTGGAAACAGAGGAAGGTCATTCTAGTAAAACGTCAAATAAATTAAACAAACATAATTAAAAATATGCAATAAGGATAGAATAAATAGAAAGAATAAGTTGTCACACCACTACCCTCTGTCATTAAACTGAATTCCCAGGAATAGTTAATTGTGCTCGTCAATTAGGCTTGATATTTTTTGCACGTAATGTCAACAGCATATTTGCAGTTTAAAAATAACAAGTTTTGACAAGTATTCTTATTATTCTTATTACATTTTCATGTAACATTGTTACAGATAAGTGCCACATTAATTGATATAGACATTTTATAAAACGTATAAATGTATCACTATCACGTGAAAGGTAGTCATATTTTTTATTTGAATAGTTGAGATCATGAGTGAACTGAAGCTAGAGCACCATGTTTCAATATAGTGAAATTGATCATTTTGACGTTTGGTAAGTATTTTTTGTCATAATTTTAAACTGCTCAACTGCAAAGAATGTACAGGTAAAAACAAGTAACGCTTTTAATGGATTAGCAAAATAACTCAATTGACAATCTTGCATCTATTTATGACACCATTATTCAGATAAAACTAAACAATTCTTTTCTACTAAGAATTACTGTTTGGAAAAGTGCCCAATCATAAATACTATTTGCTATTTTCTGAGAGAAGTTATTACTATTTTGCATCATTTACCGATCGTTAACGGTTAGCGTGATTTATGCATGCACTATTCATTATTTTATCATGATGATTTATGGATATGTTGCTACGCATATAACGTTTATTAAAATAACATACGATGTGTTAAGAAAAAACTAATGGAAATACTTCGATGAATAATTTCTTTACTAATTGTGTATTCAACATTTGACCACCTTTCAACGTCAGTTATTACTATCATCAACTATTAAAACCAGTTATAAGTTTTTTCCAAAATTCTCTTTTAATGATCTAATCCACGAAATTTCTATAAATCTCCATTGATTATATTGCTTAATCACTAGGGCTTAATTAGAATTCATCGATGTTGGTTCAGTTGACCTTTCCTATAGAAATGATGTCGTTGTACTAGTAAACTGGTAGTACTATATTCACCTATAGTAACTAATTTCATGACAAAACACTGAAACATTCTGAATAAGTTTTGCATGTACTATTGTTATACAGATTAGTATTCATTGGATGACATTTCCTATACTAAATCGTTTACTTAAACCGTATATTTGATAAAGCTTATAAAGCGTTTACGAATACGTAGGCGTTAACCACATAATGACTATTAATCTTAAATGAATTTTGATGGTTTGATCACTTGACCTTTGCTGTGGAAATAAGAAATTGAAACAAAAGAATTTAAATCAGATTGTGAGTGGCCCTGAAAAGGGCCTTCACTAGTTCTCTTAACAGTTCCGAGTTTCATGAACAAAGACGTTGCTATTATTCCATTATAGCTCCGTATATGGGACAGCGGATTCCATGGACGTGTGGTGATGGGTCGTAAGCACAAAATAAATGAAGCGTTGCTTCGCATGGACAAAAAATCCAGGTACTTCCATCAGCAGTTTCATGTGGCGGTTGCGCAAGATTGCAAATATCATAAAGTCTGTTGTCATACGCGTCTTCGTCATTGTCGTCGTCTCGTTCAGTGAACTCCTCTGAGCTCATCGAAACAATTTCTTCCTCGTCATTGCTTAACGTTGCATTGACGTTATTTTGATAGTCGGTAACTTACAAAAGATGAAGGAAGGACATTGAGTGTTCACGGTAGTCCTTGATGAAAAATCATAACAACACTAATCAAATTACCTCGTTCGTCTACTCGGCTGTGAGGAACAGCTAGATGTTCTACGGCCATTTCTCCAACATACGAATCTAATATACGGCTTCCGATCTCCATGTAAATGAGAATCCCTCACCACATAATGGCTGTACGTGGCTCTTTCATACGTTCTAATGGCGCTCTTCAATGCTTCAAGAGATTGGAACGCTACGAGATACAATGTGCTCAAGAATAGATTATCGGATTCTGTGACAACATGAAGAACGACAGAACTCGCGCTTTGCATGTTACTACCGTTCATAATTGGAAGGAAATGTGCTCTGTCATCAAGTCCAGACATTTTATATCGATTTGAAGAAATAAAAGACCAATTATAACGAACTCAAAACTAGCTATTTGATAGGACGAAACAGAATGAAAATTATTGGAAGATGGGGATGAAAAAAAATTTCACTCGGAAAAAAATACAAAAATGGCCATGCAGTAAATGTTAACCTCAATAGCGTGTGTGTGATCTAATTTAAATTGATGATCGATCGCTAAATTATTTTTAATGACAAAAAGCATTCACGATTGTTTTATATTATTGTGTAATAAATGTCACTATGGATAGAATATGTTTAATTTTTGTTTAAATTATACGCAGTAAAAATTATTTTTACTCAAAGCATGTTGTTATCTTAAGAAATATGGAGGATTTTCAATAATTACAGTCTATTCAATAAATTATATATATATATATATATATATATATATATATATATACAATAAAATTTAACACTTCCATTAACCCATAAATTATATATTTCTGTCTGTTTTTGTGTATGTGTGCTGAACATTTTGGAAAAGTTATTTTAACAATTTTCTACCAATAAACACATAACCACACGAATACAAATAGACATAAACCAGTACGAACATACAGATATGTATATAATTGATTATTTTCCATAACCTTTTTTGTTCGATTGATTTTCATTAAAACTGATTGACAAGTTAACTCGACCATGATAATATATAGTAATATGTATAAAGAATACAATACAATCTGACCACCTGTTATTTCTTACCTTTGAGAAATATTGGTAGTAATAATTACCATGGCGCTATATACCTCTGCATTGAATTTGTGTCACTCCCTGTTCATATACATATATATGATGATTATAAATTAATGTGTGGAATTAGGATTAGGATTTAAAATTAGGAGTTCGGGTTAAGAAATAGAGTAGAGATTTTTATCACGAACTGACATCAGCTATAATGCCAAAAATGATATTTAACGATATATATATATATATATATATATATATATATATATATATATATATATATATATATATATATATATATATATATATTCCCACTTATACAGACACATTGATCCTTTTATCGTGAAGTGATGAAATCTAATGATTGTCTATTCGAAAGTTAGAAAAGAATATAAATATTGAATATGAACAATTTAAGTAATTTCTAAACCCTCTTAACTGGCTACTATTAATATTTTTAATGCTTATTTCTTATGCTAATATTAGTTAGTTGATTCCAGCAATGCCTTCGCAAGAACAATACTTCATGAACTGGATACTTTTCAAGACATTTATACCGTATGTTATGAACGTATATAAATCAGTTTCCTGTCACTGATGACTTGGTTTTAAAAGCATTGATGTGCCAAACATTTATCAGTGAAGAATTCTTTGTAGGATGATTATTACTATCAGGAGAAAAGCATATTATCACGTTATGTAGACAAAGAAATCAGTTTAAATATAAAACATTAATTAAAGACTAAACAGAGATTTAATCAAAAACATATAATGACTTGTATCAGTCGAATGACTTTAAACGAACCAATCTCTAAAATTACACACAAAAATCTTACAATTTGTTCCGGTGTTGTTGTATAAGGTAAACCACGCATTCGAATCAATGTTTGATTGGGTGTTGTTAACTTTCCCAAAAAATTCATTGCCTCTTGAGATTCACCTATGAAATAAAAAAAACCAATCCTTCATACAAAAGAGAATATTAGGTAGTAGAATATTTAAAATTTGTTTCATAAAATTTTATATATAGATTTTATTTCTAAATTTATATTTTACTCCTTTGGGTATACGTATTCTAATTAATTGTTTCTTGTACCAAGCTATTCGGTTTTATAGTTGAAATTACACACTGATCTTAAATAGACAGAGATCGAACTCCAGGAAATATTAGACAGCTGTTTCGTTCTATTATGGGACTCCTCAGCAGTGAACATGAAGAACTCCACCACAGGGGATGGAATCTGGGGCCTTCAGATCATGTGGCTAGAACCTAATCGTTAGGCAAGTGAATCGGCAATAGACGATTTCCACATTTGATTTCGGTCATTCCTCGATATTAGGTAACCATCTTCCAGTGCCATTGGTGAGTAGATACCGTGAACTCCATTGGTCACGGATTCTCAATAAAAACTTTAAAATAGAAAGATAATGTATTTCACCTGTCGTCCAAGTTTACTCTATAACTTTGTGAATGTTTGAATTAACTGGAAAACAAATTTTTCCATGGATGATATTAGATCGAGCTACAGACAATTATTTGTTTAAATGAATGACCTTACTTATCACTAATACAAACCAACTAAGTTATTATACCTTGAACATCGGTTCCACAGACTTTAGGCATACTTTTTGAAGAGTTCTAATTACAAGTGTAAATTATTATGTAATGATCATCACGAACTGACCTTATTAGGTAAACATTTATTGAAAACCAGGAAGCAATAAAGTATCCAAGGATTCTGGTCCTGATCCCCGGTAAGGTTATGGGTGTACACTGTTGGGGAGTCCCATGCAAAGATGAACCATTACTACTTGGTTTCCAATGATTGTTTAAGTAAGGTGAGTTCATGACGTTAACTGTAAGACTTAAAAATCTCCAAAAACCTGTCATATAATAAAAAGCTATCAGAGTCCAGAGACATATAAGTAATTAAAATAAAGTGATTAGAGTTTTTGTCTTCACCGAATGATGCTCATTGTAAAAATAATGGAAATGTAGGAACACTCAACATTGTTCAGGACTCTATGTCAGTAAGCACCCTCTTATAAGTTTAAATAACCTCGCATTTTAAATCAGGGAATTAATGTGATTTCCATATATTATACGGTATTTTTTATTGGTTTATTACGATAATACACCAGAAATAACTAAAACAACGAAACGCTGCCCAAACCCCTTTTTGGGTTATTATCGGTCCTTAACTCAGGTAAATAAAGAAGTTTGGACATAAGATTAGCATTCCTACCTCATAGAAAACAAAACGTCGTTAAAAAATGTCAATCAAATAATAATTTAACCTTAATAATTTAACCTCTGTTCTGGGAGTTTAGGAGTCTTCATACAGATGAGTTATGACATCGTATGGCAAAACCTGAAATTCTTCAGATGCTGTAACACGGGTGCCCCTCCTGACAATCAGAACGATATGTAGTATAGATACACCGAATGTTCGGAAAATGTAAGCAACTAAGAGTGTCATTCACATATCAGGTGAAATAAGTGAACATTACATACATCTTCACAGAATAAGTGAAACACTTGACAACAACTTGGAAGAACAATCTAGGACAGAGTTGGTTAGATATCTCAAGTTAGCAACTTATGCTCCAGGAGGGTTAATAAGCAAAGAAAATAATTCGCCAGAATAATATATGAAAGGAATATTCAAAATAATTAAAACATTAATGTGATTTGATTATCTCTAACTAACCTCCAGCTATTGAAATGAAATCAGAACCAGTTGCAGCATAAACTTCAATATATCGTTTACCAACATGATGTTTATGTTTTCTTAAAGCTAAACTTTGTTGTTCTGCATTTGCGAATTGTATTAATGCTTCACCATTTCTACGTCCAATCTTACTCAATACCAATGATATCCCACCTTTAGCAATATTTATACCACTGAAAAACTGAAATATTTCCAAATCTGTAGCTTGCCATGGTAGTCCACGAGCTCGAACAACAACATTGTCATTGATTGTGTCACTTTTAGATCTTTAAGGGTTTTTTGTTTAAAAAATAATGGTAATCTGAAGTAAATATTGATTTTTCTCTTAATTGAACATAAGATTGGTTACTAACTTAAAATATGGTTGTAAGTAATTTTTACCTATATGCAAGTAAACTGGATGTATTTATTATGATTATTTTTATGATTATCAATATTAATGGCTTTATCCCATATCATATTTTGGTGCAATTTAGAATTCTCATAAAAAAGTATTTCAACAAGCTTATTTTACAAAACAAAACAGAAAACGATAATTGCATACATATATTCATAAATTTAGTTAATGCAGTACCTGGGGTTAGATGATATTTTTTTAGATTTGAATATGTTCAACTTTTTAATTGGAAACATCTTTAAGAATACAAGTTATTGATTAGCTTCGCTCTAACGACCTGTTTCTCATGCTATATATTTGCTAGATAAGGTGTCACAGAGCTCTTATATCTTTGCTTGCGTACATGGATTCTAATATATTGATGTTTCGTTCTACCAGAAGATATACGAGGAGAAAGATATGAATGAACTGGATGGTTAGTACATGATAGGATGACATCCGCCAGATTTCAGACATCTATCTACAACTATAATAGCAATGACCTTAAAGGATTCACCACACCCTGTTAACTGCCTTCATCACTCTCCGCAATCCAGCAAAGTCTTTTCTGAAAATTCCGGGAAAGAATAATGATGAACACTGGGGAATAATATGTAGAATGTAGGAATTAACAAATCCTAAGAATTAATGTCGAGTAATGCCAAAAGCATGCAGCCTCTAACAACAATGTTGATGTGATTTAAGTTTATATGGGGTTTTTTCTAATCAGACTTCAAACTTATAGGATATAGTTTAGTTGAATCAATTTTTAGAAAGGTTTAATTGACTACTATTTTTTATCGGTGAAGATAGATTTAATTATGTTTATGAATTTTCTGATTTTAAATAATAGTACTACTGATAAGTTGTGTTATCCGTGTCTGACACAAAACGTATGATACTTGATGTCATTTAAAAAAATAATTTATCTGAATAAATAGAATTTTACACAAATGTGGTTTACATTACAGAAAAAGTTTTTAAAATCAGCGAGCCTTAGGTAACCACTTAAAAATTCTCAGGATCGCATATCTTAAACAGAGTGAAGCTCAGGATTAGCGAGTCTCACTCGCATCATAAATCACAATAGGATCATACTTGATTAAAGAGATTCAAACATCCTTCTAACCGTCTCTTTGGTGGGAAACCACCTGTTTCTCTATCTGGTTAGTTCTACAGTTTGCAACTATTCTGTGATCACGCTATCCAACGATTGAGATCAGTTCGTGATGTGAATAATCATTTAATTAAATAGGTCATTGTGATTTTACATCATCGTTTCCATCGTAAACTAATATCTATGACCATTAAAGTAAAGTCAATGGTTATGTATAGAATTTAGAACAAGAATCTCATACACTCATAACAGTAGATTATTACGGCAATGGCGACTGACAAATAACTTCATAAGAATATCTTTCTTGACAATCTATATGAACGTTTTTAATGAAATATTTCATCGAAAATCCCAAACATCGTTTTTACATATTCGAAAATGCTATGTGCTTACATTATAGCCGGGTAATATTCACGATTAACTGTTTCAAACTCTGTCCATTCCATTCCTGTGAAAAAATAAATAAAGATCATTATATAGTATTTATTTAAACAATAATTCATCAGATTTTTTGAATCCTCCTAATCAGCCGCTTACAACTTTAAAACAGTAATATTAACCATACTAAATACTTTATGTGAGAAAAGTTTTAATTTTAACGTGCAGTTCTAGATTAATAAACGAGGTTAACAGTGGAAACTTTTTTCAAACTACTGAATATTCACAACTTAATAATCTATGAATGTTCTAAAAGAGAATTGTAACAAACTTTGTAACACAATTTTTTATAAAGTGAAGATCTATGCCATAATTTGTATAATGCTTAAAAAAAATTAACCAGCCAAGCAAAGCTTTGTGAGCAATAGTTGTGTCAATAATTATAATCATATTATTTTTATTCAGATCATGAACCAGTCAGTGTTAGACCACCGTTGAAAACCTGGAAGCACTAGACTGCTGTCTCATCCCAGCACAGGACTCCTCATCATCAGTCATCATATCACACGTAAAATGCAAACTCGGAACTTTCAGCCTCATGCAAACATTTAAACTCTAGACTGCTGAGCCAGTATCAAACGGGTTCCAGCCCCGCCTGCAGGGTTATAGATGAGAACTGATGAAGAGTCGCATACTAGGATAAAACGGTCGTCAGTTTTTTTCAGGTTTTCAATGATGGTCTAACTTTGATCAGCACATGATCCCAATATAAACTTAGCACTCTTCACAACCCTACACTGATAATTAGATAATCTACAATGTAAATGTACCATTCTTATCCGATAACATCAACCATACCTACTTATGATCTCAAGTGTGAACATCACATCACCCAGTTACTTCATTCATGGGCTTAACCATTCAGTCATTTTCACCCCTCTACGATAGACTGTTTGATCGGGATCAAGATAATAAGTAAACATTTCAACATGGAGATTAGATAGTGGATGAAGGTATTCAACAGGAAACCCTGAACCCAGGTTTCGTGCTACTTGGCACTCGTCAGCAAGGTGTACCTGTAATCTTGAGGGAACTGGTGCTCCCTGGCGGATTCGATCCCGTGTCACCCAGCTTCACAGTCAGAGACGTTACCACTGAGCTATCCGAGCCGTGACTGACCTCCTGTAGGACTGAGATGTAATCACAATCGATTGATCACTGGGTGGTGATCAATGTCATGCGTGTCAAGTCCTTATTTAGTGCAGATCGAATGCTGGTTTAGAGGATTCGACTAGTAATAAGAATTCGACCTTCTTGGCCGCCTAGTCATCGGTTAGTGTGTGAAAGCGAAACCATTGCTCCTAACCGAAAAATGTTGGGCGAATTAATATTTCAAGAACATACCTTGATTATTGCTAAATTAATAAATTTCATTAGGAATGGATTATACCTAAAACTGTATACTTAATCTTAGTTTCGCATAACCGAAAATGTTGACCAGAAGAAAAAGTAACTTAATTTTTGAGATCAATCATTCTGGCGGTAAGTGAATACATAAAAATAGTTATTTGATCATATTACCTGAGGAACCTAGTACAGACATATTTATTAACGAAATTGTCAACTGATTCCATTTGTCTAAATTTATTTTAGCTGTAAATTTGATACTACTGTTGAGTAGTTTAGAAGAAGCGATCAATCACAAAATGAAAGTTATACTGGCTTCTGTGACTGAATAATATTAGCATAAAATCATTAAAAATCACTCAACTAATACCTACGAAAAAATATTTTGATTTCGATGACATTAAGGGCTTATAAATTATCAAAATTGATAGTGCATACATTATTTTATTTCTGTAACCGATAATACATATATCATAATAATAATACATCACTAGGTACTTAATACATGAATTAGTTGTAATTTGTTTTTACTCTGATAACTGATATAAACATTTGCACAGTAAGGTAGAGTTAAGCAAAAATTACAGTGGAATTAAAAATGGTTGAACGCTTCCCATTTATATAAAATATTGACAGAATTTTTGTGACTCAATCGATGTAGTCAGCCAAAACCTATAATTCAGTTAAATGAGTACTGGGTCAGTACTCCAAAAAGGAACTTGTTCCAGGTCAATACCTTATTGATGTTTTTCTCATGATGCATGAACAGACTGACTTGGGATTTTGGTATGAGAGGTAATAATGAGAGTTCATACATTTATATATTGAGATTTTAAAGAACTAGACAATTATTCTCTATAATGTATTCATGACACTAAATAATTAGAAAGTGTTTTTGAGCGTTACAGGATATTTTGAAACTACTGGATATAAATACTGGTACCCCTCAATATCTGTAGCTTCTTTTTGCCATCTGTTAATAACCATTTACAGTCGAAGGGTTCTATCTTCTTTGTCTTTTTTAGAGCGATAGTTCTGTTAATGAATATTTTACTATCGAATTAAATTTACATTTAAATATATTTTAAATCATCCCATAAATTTCACCTGTCAGAAAATGCATTTTGATAATTTCGGTATTTTCACACTATATTACTCAGGATGAATCTTTAGACTAAACTTTTCTATGTATTATTATGATTGGTTTATGTGCGTTGTCTAAGCGTGTAATGTATATTCATAATGTAAATAATTGTGCTGTAATGCAGTTCATCATATCAATTGATGTATTAAAGTTTATTTAAATCAACATTTAATCTGTCTATATGATATTTTATCTACTTTCACTAATATTCACCATTCAAATGACTGTACGGCTAACAAAGACACAATACTGACCAACTTAAGGATTAATCATGAATTTGTTTTAATGAAACCTCTTAATATTTAAACAAACATTAAAAACACGACAACATTTGACTCATAGTTAAAGGTACGTTTAACTGAAGTTTAACGAATACAAAAATATTCTACTCTATCTCCTCTAGTCACTTGACATAATATATCCAATGTAGTTGTACAATTCTTTTATTTATTTGTGAACTTCTAGTCTTTATTGTTTAATATATACTATGACACTTAATATAACACAATAAATATAGTATAACTTTTGTCTATCTACAATTATTTGTTAAAATAGAACAATATAAGGCAAATAAATAATTAGTTACAAATGAGTGTTCAAATAGTAATAGTTAGAAAAAAAGACAAAATAAATAAATCCATTTGTCATTATTGAAAATAAATATTGACTTGTTTAAGTGAATCTCATCAATTGACATTCGTACCATATGTGTTATTTTTTGTTTAAATTGAAAAATGATCAAACTGTAAAGAAAGCTATCAAGCGTTATGAACATCTGTTATTTCGGTAGAGAATAGTGGAGGAATTTTAGACTGATCTCATATATATATACTAACAATAGTTTGATCGTAGTACTTGTATTGTTTACAAACTGACAGATGGTAAACTGTAATGTAAGTGTTATGAAAGTTAATTTAATTCTACTAACTATGATTAATGTTACAAATAAAACTCATGATTTTATCAAAGAATATATAAAGTGTTTCTAATTGAAAATTAATTTAATTTTGGCACACATTTAACAGGCTTAAATCTCCAAATGTTTAGAACTATTACAAATTTAAAGATGAGCTTTTCTTGATGTTTGTATAATTTCTACAAAAGCCGAAATAGAACTAGAGAGTAGAGGACCATGCTCACTGGTGGTGAGACATGAAATATCGGTGTCGAGTAGATACAGGTATCTACCTCAGTACAATGGAAGTTGGTCACTCAATACTGTGAATTGGTTGAGGTTAGGCATTAACACGGTTGGATGCCGACTCAGTGATTTAGAGGTTAAGCGTTCGCGCGCGAGACTGAAGGCCCTGGGTTCGAATCCCGCGAGCGGGATTGTGGATGAGCACCGCCGATGAGTCCCACAATAGGACGAAACGGCCATCCAGTGCCTCCAGGTTTTCAATGGTAGTCTAACATCAATCAGTTCATGATCTCCATCACAAACGTAATACTCTCCATAACCCTATACTGATAGAAAATTATATTGGAAAACGTATGTAATCTTCGACTGATGATTTGAAGAAGTGGAATTATTCATTCTCTTTTAATATGTTTATTCATCCTGAGTAGATTGTCTCGATATTTCTACTTAGTTACAAATTCGAGAGTGGTTGAAAATATAATCCGGGATATGCGTTTCACCTTATTTGGGACCGTAAACGAATCTGAATTTCACTGTTGACGTTCACATTCTTTCATCACAATTTACCTTGAAATGGCTCATAAATCTCCGTCTGATATTCATTCTAGGAATTGTAGAAGCTTTCTATGTGTGTGCAAAACTATTTATTTTCTTTCTAAATCGGCGCTTATAGTCCTCAAAATATTAAGTTAATTGTCAAATTCCTTAAGTTGATTGACTAGTAGTCATCTGAAGCGATTGTTATTTAACCAATAGCATTTGATAATTACCGAGAACTGTGAAATGTCAATTTCAAAATCACTGGAGGAATTATCTAGTAATTATTGATCTACCCACAGTGAAGAATATAATGGAGTAGTAATATACTTGGTGGAAATGTAAATAGTTTGCTTTCAATTCAAAGGACAGACAGTAAAGTGTTACTCATATAGTCAGAATGTACTGACTTTGATCCCATTGTGGGTCAACAGAATATTTTGATGTTTGAATATATTTTCTTGAAAAAGCTTGAACCAGATTGCCAAGCAAAGCGTTAGATTTACATCAAATTCATTCGCTGAGATTTTACAAATACATCCTTCCTCTCCAATGAATTACTGAACAGTTTTAAACTTGAATGAAACAACTGTTCACTAGTTTCTTTAATTTCAGCGGTTCTTTGGTGGATCATTTTAAGAACCATCTTTAAATTAAAAGAAATTTTTATTAACAATCTGCCTAAAATGCACGAATCAAAATCTTCTCTATGAGTACCAAGGCTTTTTAATCATTCACTTATCATGATTACCTTATTCTCAGAAGTTGTGATATATAAAGAGCCAGCTTTTTCATTTACTATTCAATTTGATATATCATCTGTTTGTTTTCATTTCACATAAGGATTGTCGTTTGATTGTGTTTGTTTTTTAGTTGCATAAATTAACTAGAAATATCATCGAATGACTACACAATTAAATGTTTTTCAAACATATCAAATAAAGTGAATGAATTATTTATAAACTATGTGAATAATACATGAAATAAGACATACAGCCATAATAATTTAAATAAAACAATATGCGTATGCATGAAGATAATATTTACACTCTCTGATGTTGTCGAAAGAAAAACGATAATTATCGTGACCCAGTCATAGTTGAAGGCCATCAGAAGATATATGAATAAAGAACAATAATTACATTTAGATTTTTAAACAATTACTCTTTATTTATTACAGTAACTGTTTTTAAGAAAAGGTTCCATCAAACTGTTGAAAAAGATTAAGACCGATATCAAGGAATATTAGTGGATAGTTGTATCCTAAACATTGTTGTCGGTTATAGTTAGAAAATATAACCTGTTTCATTAAGTGGTTCGAATTTTAGGGGTAATAAACCTTAAATCTCTATTTTATTTTTATTTTTGCTCAGTGTCGTGGTAAAATATCTCAACGTTGATATATTCAAATTTTACAAAATAAAATTCTTATGACACTAATTTGGGTATTTATACAGAAAACAAATTTATAGATTGATATAAAATTGTCAGTGAGTTTACTTCTGGTGTGGTTTTTTAGTGAAAATAGCAATGAGCTTTACACAAACTAACCATCTAATGTCATTTTCTGTATTACTTTTGCTAAAATTCGACAGTGTTGTGTAGGCCAATAACCTGGTTGACTTTTTAATCCAATCAACTTGGAATTGAACTGTTGATAATCTTGATTTGATATACATGGTTCTTCTACTGTCGAAGGAATAAAATGATCTTGTGGAAGATTTGTAGTGGTAGCAATATTTCTTGGTAGTTGTATTTCTGAATTACAGTACTGATATTCATAGTGATTATCAATCTTCTCAAGTTGAGATTTTAACAAGAATGATTCTTTAAGTTGAATATTTGAATAGGGTGGTGAATAATCATCGTCTATTTGTAAGTCTTTGAAATAAGCAGAAAAAAAACCAGAAAGTAAAGAGAAATTATTATGTTTGATCATGAGCAAGTCCACTGATTATATAAACGTGTATAAAGATGAATGATATTAGCCTATGATAGAGTCCATTTGAAAATGTGGTACTATGCATAAAAAGTTAATACTTAAACAAATGAATCATATATTGTATAGGGTAGATGGAATGTGGCTAACAGTCGAGTGCATAACACTTGTTATGTCTGTTCTACATTCACTTCTACATTCCCACCAGTACTCTTGCGAGCAGTCTGCTTCGTACGAGCTATGAATTTGAACAGCAGTACTGGTGGTGTTAAGAAGCCTTATCATTAGCGCCAGGGAACAGTTGCCTTACGTGAGATTCGATGTTCTCAAAAATCGACCGAGCTACTCATACGTAAACTAGGTTTCCAGAGTTTGGTCCGGGCGATTGTGCAAGACCATAACAATGTAATGATATAAGGTTGAAATTGTTAATAGAGGCTTATTTGAAGATTATTAACTGTTCTTAAAATTTAAATTGATATAGAATAAAAAAAATTAAATCAGCCGTATACAGTGGTTGTATAAATATCCAAGACTATCTGTTTTCAACTTGGTATGTTACAAGATATAATCATGTACTTTATTAAAAAATACTTAGGACCTGTTGCGGTACCTAAAATTGTGAGATACAAGCAGAAGCGTTATGGAGGCTCAATATTTTCGATCTTCTCTATTCTTTGATGAGAAAAAAGAGAGTTGTCACCCATACTTTACAAATATTTTGCCATGTGATAATGGTAGAAACTTTTTTAGGCTGAAGACGAATAGCCAATAAACATTGTTGGAATACATTTTTTGAATAGCTAAGAACTGTGTGGTATGTATAGTTTAGGCGCAGTTTACTTACTATCCTCATTCATCTATAACCTTGTTAAAGCAACTCGAGTGATTTTCAGTTGGATTACACAATGATATTGTCGTCATCTCAGTTTCTTGACTTTATAGCAACCTTAAATATACTGAATACATATCTACGCATGCAATAATCATACTATACAATAATAGTTACTACTGCAAACAAAATTTTTGTGTCAAAAACGTTTTTAGGTCTATTTTGACATGAAAATTAGTGGTTTTGATTTGTAGGAGATACATTCCAATATTTCGCTGAGTCGGCTATTAACTAATATGGTGTCAACATCTTTCTAAATGTCGAGGAGATTATTAAAAGTATGTTTGTTGTTTATACTTATATTGTATTGAAGATTAAGTTTCATCCGTTTCCATCCGACTTCATTGGTCTCTCTTGGGCTACACTTAGAGAATAAAATGGAAATAATCTGAAAATGTAGCATTTGAATTATTTAGAAAAAACAGATACTTTCCTGTACATATATAATCATTCTCGTTGGTATGCCAGTTAGTACTTGTTTGTAAGTATAATTATTTGACCACTGAATAATGACCAATTTGATATCTCAAGGTTAGAAAAACGTCATCAGTGATCAGTTGATTAAAAATCACATAGTTCCTTTAGGAGTTGGTTTTAACCCTCAGTGGCAACTTCATAAACTGTGAAGCTGAATGATATAAATTGAAATCTATTAGGTAACGCTTGTTTTCTCTGGAGTATATGAATACCTTTCTAACACGAAACTCATGGAAAAGATTCCTTATCGATTCTCACTTAACATGTACCTGTCAGCAATAAATTACCGATAGTGGAGCTCATTCATGTATTTCAGTGCAACGTTTTCTAATCTAAGTAATCTTTACCCAAGATCAACTAAGTAATGAGCTTTAAAGATAGGTAAAACGAACAAACACTATCCTTAAATAAACACATTTATTTAGAAAATTACGAAATTTAAATAATTCCAACGTTTCGTTCATACAAGTTTTCTGGATGAAACGTTGGAATTATAAGAATTTCAATCACTGAAATTATTTCAAATATGATTTTCATATATTATGTCTTCTCTATACTCAGCGCCAAATTCCTATCAAACTATTCGTTTTAATATTGACGAATATTCTCATACACTTGTATAGTTTATCATCTTGGTATTTGAGGAACCATTAAGAATGATGCTTTTAAAGACATTAATATATTTTATTGCCAACCTAATTCTATATTTTAAGTTATTATTACTTTATCAAATTTGTTATTATAAGTCATAACGATTTCTTGATCTAGAGAAATTGTAAAACTATCAAAAACAACTGAGATACGCCAACATCATAATCTTTTTGAACAAACGACATATTCTCTTAGGTGTAAACTTAAATCTAATGAGCAAAAAATTTACAAAAAGCTAATTTGCTCTATCATAACTTACATTCGATCATTTCATTAATTGTATTTGGAATAGTAGCAAGTTTATAGAATTTTGCAAAAGATTTTCTTATATCAATAAATTGATAAAAATAAGGATAATTTGTAATGTCAATTGATTTTGTTGTAGTTTCTGGATGAAGTGTTAAACGTATACCGTACGGTCCATCAACTAGCAAGAGAAAACTTTTCAAATTTTCATCACATTCCATTTTCTCCGTAGTGGTTTTATTAGTATTAATGGTAGTTCTAGAATTAGCAGTTGAGCAGCAATATGGAGGAGAATCCTGATCAAGATGTCTATCGTTCACCGTAGAATGATCATTTCGGAAACAATACAGATTATTGTCTTGAATCCACTGGTTGAACTGTCATCGTAAGAAAGAACAATGAATTATTGTTCAGTGAGAACGACAAATAAATTTTTGAGATAGGTTTGTAAAGACAGATCGGGATTCAAGTATCATTAATACCAAAACACTAATAATTAAAAAATTATCAGTTTAGTGATAAAAATCTATATTTAACTAACAACTTGAAACAAGATGTACTGCCGAAAGAAATCAGAAGTGTTTTAACATTATACTAATTGTCTTTCATTTTCCTTATAAAAAAAGAGGCCTATGTATTCGTGTCCTAAGACAAACTGATTGGTATGATGAGTGAGTAAATACGGTTTAGAAAATCTTAGTTCTAAAACTCTTTAGATTCTGACAATCACCTCAAACTAACCAGCCTACTACAAATTAGATAAAGATATTTGGTTAACTATCCACAAAATTCCTGATGTGGCAGAGTTATTCAAATACGAAACTATGGTATTAAAACACACTGTTTAAAATACTTTCTGAAAACCGATAGAGGATTATTTTAGTGATGATAACAGTGACGATGATTAAGAATTCTATCATTTAAGAATATTCGAAATTTCAAATTGTTTTAGATTTTCAACATTTACCTTTTAGAGGAATTAAGAGTCCGTAACTATTTTAATGAAAGATAACTTTCGTTAGTAGAGTAGAATTAAAGCTCGGAGATATTCAAATGAGAAGTTGTAGTTAAAATTACTACTTTGAGACAATTTAATGTGTTGAATTCATTTTTTCAATATTATCTATATAACACTATGTTATGATTTACGATATGGGTCAGGTGTTGCTGATCACACTCTGTAAACTGTGGCACTTTGAGTGATCAGAAAAGTGTTGTCAAAGAGAAAAGTTATTTCATTGGACTGTTTGTATTTTATTTTATAAAGTTATTTTCTGGAGAATTCTGCTTAAATGACAAATCTCTATGCTAATGACTAACCAGAAAAGTGGAATCAGTATCTATCAAATCATGAGTCTCATTTCTGCTTACACAAACCAACTACTTTAAAGTCCTTAATAATGACCACATTATTTTGCCAAGGATATGTGATGCTAAATGCTAAGTCATACTCAATTCTGAGTAAAATATTAAGGAACACCATCTTATATAGATTTCATCAAATTCATTTAATTAAAGCAATTAGTTTTTGATTGAGATCATGAACCGATTGATGTTAAACCACCACCTTTGGAAACCTGGAAACACTGGACGGCCGTTTCGTCCTATTGTGGGACTCCTCAGCAGTGCGCATCCACGATCCCGCGAGCGGGATTCGAACCCAGGGCCTTCGGTCTCGCGCGCGAACGCTTAACCAACTGGACCACTGAGCCGGCATCCAATGGTGATAGTATCAAAAACTTAATAATTTTCACAACCCCTATACTAGTAATCAACATGTACTCACTAGTGACTAGCTTCGTGAGGGAATTCTCGGAGTTCTAGTGAGAAGCCGTGATCAGTGGTGCTAATCCATGTCGGGTAGAGACAGGTATCTACCTCAGTAAAATGGAAGTTGGTCGCGCAATTTCGTGGATTGGTTGATGTTAGACACTATCACCATTGGATGCCGGCTCAGTGGTCCAGTTGGTTAAGCGTTCGCGCGCGAGACCGAAGGCCCTGGGTTCGAATCCCGCTCGCGGGATCGTGGATGCGCACTGCTGAGGAGTCCCACAATAGGACGAAACGGCCGTTTAGCGCCTCCAGGTTTCCAAAGGTGGTGGTTTAACATCAGTCGGTTCATGATCTCAATCAAAATCTTAATAATCTCCACAACCCCTATACTAGTAAAACAATTAGATTAAATTTCGATATGTAAGTTCCTAGGATTTAGTTACTGATGATAGCACTAAAACATTCCTACTCATGAAATATCTGAAAAAAATGTTTTAAGTGTTTTTTTTCTCTCAAACTTACATCTTTTAAAACGTTTTCAAGTAGTGGAGCTTCGGTTAGAATTTGAGTATTTACTGACGTCACTTCTAGGCACTCTTCAGTTGGTCCAATCATTTTCATACTATAGTTTTCTCCATTAACATTAGACTGAATTATTACATCTGTCAATGAACTGTTAGTATCATCTTGTGGACAAATCTCATCACTTTCTAACTTAACATACGATTTTTTAATTTTTGACATACTAAACTCTTTAGAATCATGACAGATTATTTGACAAGGTTTAATAAACTGTTGAAATTCTTCACCATCTTGCTGGAAATCAAGAGAATTTTGTTGACAATAGGTAATATGATTAATATTTAAAAGCATTCAATTTACAAATGATTTACTGTTCATATAGTACCATCAATAATAGGATGAATCTATATAATTATAAGAGAATATTTGTTTAAAATTATTTAAATTATTAATTACTCTGTAGGTGTATCAATTAGTCAGTATGTAATAGGTAACAATGAACTCCAATCCAAATATGTCAGTTCAGTTTGTTTCAGTTCTCGTGGGCACTATGAAAGAAGTTTCATATGGAGAGAAAGTTGATGAGAAGCAAAACATCAATGAAGGGTAAAAATTTTGACAAACTCCTAAACAGAATACATAACATCGGGAATGAGATAGTATGAAGTGTGATTACAAATGAAGATTTGGAAGAAAATATGGTATGAATATATTTGCTATATGAATTGATTTTACACTACAGTATTCATGATCTTCATCCATAGAATATGATTATCTAACCAACTCCAACCAAGGATTATGTATCTCTTAGTTTAATTTTAGCTAATATTTAGGTACAAGAATGGGCTAAACAGATTTAAGAAATTTTATAGAATAACTATCAGCTAGTAGTATTGCCATATTTGTTTGCAGATGGATAACTTAGGAAAATACATATTTAAAAAGTTTCCCTTTATTTATTGACAGTCATTGATGACATTGGTTGACATTGATAATCCTAATGTATGTGGAGTAAATGATAAATTAATATTTTTTACCATAATTGATTATTGATTATTTTTTAATAAAATATAATTTAATTTGAGTTATCCCTTCAATCATCAGAGAGTTTCAGAAATCTATGACGAATTTATTACCAGGTTTTAAAACAGAAACAAGACATTTTGAAAGTGTATGCGTCAACAAGATGACAATGAAGATTATGGCTAAACATTTTCATTTAGCCATTGACGGGTAGCTAGAAGAAAATAGTGGGATGAGACTCTAAACTTATGTATAATTTTAAAAAAAGCACGTATGAATTCTTCAATGAACTGATGTTTCCTGTTTAATCCACCTACATAATTCATTCTGTATTAAATAATATACAGTTCTGAATAAGTAGTAAGGGACATGGATATTGTTAACTTTCAGTGAAACTTGTATCGGTCCGTGATCGCAATAAAAATTTGCATGAGTTACTACTTGGCAATGTGAATCCTTTAATCTTGAATAGGTCAGGTTTTATGGCTGCCATACTAGGTGATCTCATATTGATTGTTTAAAATAACCTGGGGCAGTATGCCATTAGTTACAGGTTAGTGACCGGCCATAATGACAGTTTATTATTTTCCGCCAAAGGTGTCTAAAAAGAAAAATAATCACTCACGTCACACAGCGTAGAAGTAAGCACTGTAATGTAATGCATAAGTCTCGGCCTGTGCAAATCATATATGTATGTATATCCAAAGAACACACGTGTGGTTAGTGCAAGGAATATACTCTGAAAAAAATGTCTGCCCATGTTTATTCAAATCAGAGGACTAATCCTTTAGGTCGAAGATAATAAAAATATGTGGTAGCAAATACTAGGGAAAGGTGACCATCAACCCATCATGAGAGAGCTCTTATACTTATGTGTATTTCATGAAGTGTATGGATAAAATCCCTCATACCAGCGATATGTACATAATGCGTAAGAGACAGTCAGTTGTAGCAAGTACGTTCGAAGCGATCGGTGACCATCTACCCTCGCAGTGGGTGAATATACTTTCGTGTATGATATGGTATGCATAAATGAAAACTTGTGTTACCGGTGTGCATGTGAGCTATCCTTGTCCCAGGTGCGGTGTCCGTGAGCCAAGACGCAAGAGTTCTAACGATTTCCCCACGAAATCACGTCCACACGGTGGGTTATCAAGCCTCGGAAAACGGATTCTAATCCAGACAAACTAATCAGCTTTACCGAGTAAGGCTTGATCAAAGTAAACATGATTAGAACACCACACCAGTGGACATCGAATTAAGAATGTAAGCCATGAAGGTTAAACTAATGGTCTAAAGATTAAGCGCTCCACACGAATGAAGCCTGACGAACCTTAAAAAGGCAAGGACACTGCGCCGTACTGTATCAGCTTTAAATAAGCGACTTTTCGTTATTACACGTTTGTGTAATTTCCACTTATTATCAATTGCTTTTATTATCTATCGTAAGTATATATCATGTGTTCACGCTACTGTCAGCTCCTTCTTTCTCACGTTCTCCTTATTTTCCAGATAGTCTATCAAATACCACTCTGAACATTCTTCCAGAACGTATCTTCAGGATAGAAGCAAACAGCTATATACATACATCTAAATTGTCGATGAGATTACTCTTAAGGTAATTACAACCATCCAACATCGTTGTTTTTTACAAGTACATTTTAAATTCGAAGTAAAAATCAAATATTCCTTAGTTATTCACAAGAGTAATGAATTAGATTACCAAGTAACAGCTGATGACTGAATAATTAACCTAAGTAGTTAGTCGCATTAAGAACAGTTAAATGAAAAAAATATTCTGTTTAATAAAAATCAACTTGGGAAATTTTTTAGTTCTATCGTACTTACATCATTTTGTTTTAGTTGATAGATTTTCGCAGTCAATAACATAATTGGATGTTCATCGGAACCTGTTTCATCATGCTGTCGACCAGATGTACAAATATCTAAAATCACTAAACAGTCTGGTCCATTTGAACCATAATTTATAGGCTGTGATGATGACTTGTTAGGAAGAGATGTTGTTGATGAAGATCTTGCGAAAGCAGTAGAATTCGGGGATGATGATATCGATAATGTTGGTGATGATGGTGTCATTGTTGTTGAGAGAGTACAAAATGGATAACCACTTTGTTGAAAATCATATGGCAATGGACTTTCACGTAGCTGTGGATAATAATTCGGTAGAGGTATTTCAGTACCAGTTATATCTTGATGTTCCTGTTTAGCTTTTTTAACTTGAGATAATGGATTGTTTAACAAATTTTGGTCATTTGAAGTTATCACTTCCATGTGTTCTTTACTCAAATAATACAAATGGCCTAAAGTGTGTAATTTTCCTAGCGAATACTATTTATGAACCAATATAAACAATTATATATATTTATATATGAAGGGCTCACATAAGTATGTCTATACATGCCTGTTTATTTATTATTGTGCTCATAGGAACATATGTAGTTGTGTCAATATAATAACTTCTTACTGAGATTATTGGGCTAATTTCAGTAATGAATACTACACTTATTCTTTGAATAACTAATGTATGTAGAGAACGGAAGTGAACAGTTATTACTGCTAGTTAGATTTCAGCTGACTTTAATTTCTTTCCTAATTTGAACAAAAAAGCATGAAATGACCATGGAAATACTACATACATACAATAATTTAGTTGTTCAAAACTCGTGTTTAATATTTTAATCAATAATATATTCATATAATTTATTGAATGTATGCGTAACTGCATATAGAGTGGTTTAGTATTCCTTCATACTAGACAAATATACCTGTGTGTATGTTAATAAATATATAAGATTGGGGATTGAATGTGTATTGACTGATCATTTTCTGTTACAATGTGCTATGCGTTTAACCGATATGGGAAATCGATTTAAACAAGGATTAGTAGACTATTTGTAAAAGTTAAATATTGGTGTGTGATCAATGGTAGGAATAAGCAGTGATATAAGGCTAATGGACACCTTGATTGATAGTTATAAGAACTTTGTATAAAAGCTTATAACTTCTCTCAAAGTAATAATGATTTTTTAAAATATCCTCTTATACTCAAGACAAATCTTTGTTATTAAACATAATCATTATCTTAATGTATATTAGCTATTACTGAAAGAGGATTTTTAGATTAACTTTAACAATGAGCAATGAATACAAATATCATCCCAAATTAGTTTTTATCATATGAACAGGCTTATAGATAATGTTTGGATGGGTAGAGAATATATAAATGTTCATCAGCATTAGTGGTTGAAACTAGTTTATAAATACCCAACTAGCTATTTACACCGGGTGTCGTATACTAACTGAAGACTGGAGATGGACTGACCAAGATATACTGCCGGCCATTACAGTTCCTGACAGTTGATTTAAGTAGATTTTAGAGACCAAAAACTTCTTTCTTAGAATACAAACAATCTAAAGTTGAAAGCTTTAGATAACAGAAATTTATTCATTATCCATGTTCTAACAATTAAACCACAATTTAATCCTAATTTAAAAAGTAAATTATTTTTTTCACTGAAATGTAAATTACTTACTTTTTCTTTTCGTCGTATTGTTGACCTGAATTCACTAAATCTAACTGCATATTTTGTTTTATTTAAATAAAACTGTCATGAAAATAAAGAGAAAAAAGAAGCAATTATGTAAAGCATTCAGTTGTTGTTTTTATACTAATTCCGGTGTCCTGATTTATTTAGTTTTTTTGTCATAGAAAGAATTAAATTTGAACTTATCAAAGTATAGAAAGAATATACATTTTACACTCAAGGGGAAATATACCGTCAGTGAAAGATTGTAGAACTTTCATGAGCCAACTCATAAACCAACCTCAATTAGACCAACACTGAATAACATAGAACACTAGATGACCGTTTGATCAGAGTATAGACACCTCTGTAGTGCGAATCCACGAACTAGCATTCGAGAACCAAAATCTGGACCTTTGGTCTCGTGCGGAAACAGTCAACCTCTAATCTATTGGGTTTAATGATCTAGTTATGATCAGTTGGTAATTTAAACTATAAAAACCCTATAATCTTCTTTGCGTATTAAGAATGATTCTGTGCGCACTGATAACTAGCTTAAAAATCTAATTCCTGAAATTCTAGTGGGAAGCCATAACAAGTAAAATTCCACCGTGTTAGTTGTGAAGTAGTTATTCGTCACACGAAGTGGATAAGGGTTGGTCAATATCACGAAGTGACTGAAGTTGTATACTTGTATACTATTTGGTGACGGCTAAATAGTCTAAAGCTTAAATGTTCACATATAAGAACACAGTTCGTGAGTTCGATTATTCAATGCCTGTTGGGTCTTGGATATGCACTGATAATCACTCTCAAGGTAGTACGGGGCGGCCATCGAGTGATGTCGGGTTGTCAGTGGTGGTTAAACTAAGATCATTCCATGATCTCAATAAAATTTAACAACTTCCATACTTGTTGGCAATCCAAAAATAATATGAAGTTGGAACACTACACTGAAAGTGAAGTACCACTTTTCAGGTGGCTTATCGAGTCATTAACAAAGTAAATAGTTTAAACATTTCTGATTCGAAAGATGATATTGTATAATAACATTTAAAACACGTCTGTACAACTCGGAAAGAAGGAAATTAAAGTTCACTGGTAAAAAATGTGGAGTGATGTAGTTCACAAGTAAAATGTGCTCAATACTTTATTTTATGTTCTCTCCATGGTTGATCCCTCACTGATCGGAATTAGTATACTAAAAGTCAGCTTTTCTACTTCAGTGTTTATTATACTGGTTAGTCATAGTTATTTTTAATTCCTAAATTCGTTTGGCGTTTATATGTTTAAAGTCCGGTTTTAATCGACAACATACTTTTGATATAAATTATTTAACAGAAATCTTTACTCTAGCCTTTCAATTTTCCAATCCATTATGTATGTTTTTCGTTTTACTGAAATGAATCTAGCCTGTCATGAACTAATATGAGAGGGGAATATATATTCAAAAATGTCGATTACTGTAACCGGCATAGAATGAAACTAAAATTTCGTGATAATAACTATTTTCTAAAATTAACTGACTTATTATTAAATCTAAGTAGTAGAACAGTAAAAACTTTCGAGTTGTTTTTAATAGTTAAATTAATGAGGAACGAAAGTGATTTTTGACCATATCTGAGTTGAGGTACATTAATTCAGTAAACATTATCAGCTATAAGAGTTTGTTTTCAGTTATCTTATCTTCTCTGAGCTGGATAGTTCTATTAAGAAGCTTTCGTTGTCGGCTTGATTCACATACTTCAGTGCAAGTGATCTAAGTTATAAGTTGACAATAGAATTCAGAATAATAATTAAGTTACTCATTCGAAAAAACACAAAATAATCAGTGGGATCCGCTTAAGCTACAAATTTTTTGATCTTTTCATAAGCGTTTATATTTTCCTTTTGTTAATATTAGGAATTCAATTTAATTGGTTTCTATTGGTATATGGGTTCCTTGGACAAATATTTTGGTACTCATAATTTGGTGTGATCCCATTATTGAGTTTAATTCTCCACAATTATCGTTAATAAGCACCCAAGTGGATAAGGCTTTAGGCTTTGAAACGATAGATATTGAATTTCAAGTTCGACGTGAAAATCAATACTAGAGGATATGTGCGTTTATCTAGTGAGTTCTAGTTTGGACGAGATACACGTTGACGACTCCACTACAGCTTATATCCCAACTGGATAAAATCTATGACAAAACCGACTGGTTGATAATATGCTACAACCAGAAATGTATATGTAATTTGCAATAATTATATATTGTGCTAATGAAAACGAAGACTAGACTTCATACGGTTATACTGTATTAAATAAGCTCCAGCTATTCGTGGATTGGTTGAAGTTAGACAGTTGGATGCCAACCCAGTAGTCTAGAGGTTAAGCGTTCGCGCGCGAGATCAATAGGTGCTGGGTTCGAATCTCACGGGGCGAGATCGTGGATGAGAACTACAGAGGAGTCCCGCAGTAGGACGAACCGAACTTTCAGTGCTTCCACGTTTTCCGTGGTGGTCTAGCTTCAATTGACTCATGAATTCAACCGTTGAAAATGCATATCTAATAATTAATAACTTTATGTTAACAAATGACAATAATCTCAGTATTGTTACAATACGTATGGTATCATTTTAAACAATTTTTACATGGATATAAATTAAAAATTCTGATTATATTTAACGTTAGTTATCAAATAACAGCATTTAAATTGAGAAGTTGGAATCATATGAAAAATTGGAAGTACACCCAGTAAAAATTTGATGACATTGAAGTATTTTTGGGTTATTATTATATGCGGGCAATTTAAAATATCATTAAAAATGAGTTTATAAACACTACTTAATTACATGAGCTGTACTGTATTTATTCCAATGTTTAAAACGATAAGCAGATTTATTCCTCTGAGAATAATACGTCTATTATGAATAGTTATCACTGAATGAAATCAAGAGACAAACCACGGATCAGAATCCTGATTCTGATTTCGTGTTCACTATTTTCACTAAGGCTTATCGTCTCGGGTTTTGTCAACACGCGTCTGACCAGAACCATTAACCTTGAGTCAATAGCTAAGTTCAAGTTGGCTCACGATTCTAAATATTTTTCTTTTGCTCTTCTCTTGAATCCAAAATTTAGTAACCAGGCTCTAACATATACATATATTTTACAGAGAAATGTGTTATATACAGATATAACAAACCACATTACACTACAAGATGAAAAATAATTATTATGCATGATAAAAATACTAGATTATGGTCGAATATGGAAACATTTTAAAGATCAACGACTTCTACTTATGAGTAGCATAAAGCTCATAGGGAAAATGAAGGCCAAATTTTGAAGGTTAATAGAATGGCTAACTCGAACTAATGCAGAATTCGAACCTCAAATCTGTACCGGATAATACCTGTGAAATGTAACTGTATGAAGATATAACTATTTGCAAGCATTTATGGCTTCTCATTATTGACATTCAGGACTACATTTTATTAGTTTCTGTTGGGATGTAAGATCATTCTAATCGGAAAGTTAAATATTCCTCAGTCAGTCCTTCTTTTAAACAGTATATGATCATAGATATTAGTACGAAAATCAAACCGATAACAGAAAAACATTTAGGTACGTATAATAACTAATGTGTTTGACTGATTTTTTTTTATTGAATAAATAAACCTTTAGTAATCCAGGTTTCATACAAATTACTTTCTGTTCAACTAATTAGTTAAAATAATTCTGATTGAATAACGATAATTT